TGAGCAGGTAGCTAGCTATTTTTAAATATTTCACGTGACTATAGATGATAGCCAATGATTATTTTAATTTCTTGTTTTTTTTTCTGTTTGAAAAAAGAAACCTTCAAATAAACTATTAAAATTATTATAAAAATGAAATGAATAGAACACATGTGGAAAATATGTCTTTAAATTTTGAACGGTTATACCGACCGAAAGAAAATCAACAAAAAACTGGTTGCTATGGTATGATTAAAATGCCTGTTGCAGTATCCGGGTTCGAAACCAAAAAGACCCCAGCCTGACGCATGCAATCTGTGACATGCCTTGAAACAAGAGGTATAGCCAAACACGAAGCAAGTGATAGGCGAGGGATCTTTTTCTGTCCCGGATTCGAACCCGGTTACTGCGAAACAGCACCAAACGACCTTAACCACTAGACCATCACGCCGTAAAAAAAATATAAAAAGTTTTTTCTGTCAAATATATTTTTGTCACTAATGTTTCACTAATTAGAAAAACATCTCCCACAAGCAATGAATGAATTTATTAGCTTGTTAGTTAATATAATTAATACATATTATTCTATAATTAATAGTATATAGTTAATAATTGCCGTGAAGTATAATTATCACCACGATTATTAATCCTTTATAATTAATAATCAACAATTGGATTGAATTTTTCTGAGGTTGCTTTTACTGTAGGTGACAGTTTGTGGGTCTTTACTTGGTGCTCCGTACAGAACAGATCTGTCGAAGTGCACTGTAACTTTGTCTCCAGCTGTCCGGTTGGTTGATTGATTGATTGGTTGGTTGGTTGGTTGGCTGGTTGGTTGGTTGATTGGTTGGTTTGTTGGTTGATTGATTGGTTGGTTGATTGATTAGTTGGCTGGCTGTTGATTGATATTTAGAACTAGCAAAAAATATGTAAAAATCTTGTAAAAATTGTGTAAACAAAACTTTCAAAAAAATTTGTAATGAATCATAATTTAGTTGTTTATGTAATTTAATGTAGTAATTCATAGAATTTTGAACACATGCTTTCTACAGAGGAAATAAAATGTAAAAACTAGACAAACAATCCAAGGAGAATAGAGACGTCGGTGCAGAATCGTGTCTAGGGATGAGACAAAACCTAGAGCCGACCATGGCCTCGTGCGACGAAAGTGGTTGCGGGTTGATGATGGATGGGTAAGTGAGGATGGCCGCTCGAGCCGTCGCTTCAATTATTTTTGAAAATCTTGCCAGTTTCGACTGGGTTTTTTCAAAAATAAATTATCATTTTGTTAATTTTTATTTGTTTAATTAATTAATTAATTAATTAGAGCATGTTTAAGATTTGTGTTTGAATTTTTTCAGAATTGAAAAGAAATGTATATGACTTTTTTTCAAAAGCTC